AGATCATGACCTGGGCCAAAGTCAGACGCCTAACTGACTGAGCCACCCAGGCGCCTCCTGAAAAGTATTTTTTGTAGAGCAGGTGTACTGTTAATGAGCTCTGTCAACTTTCCTCCCTTCCTTCCTTCCTTCCTTCCTTCCTTCCTTCCTTCCTTCCTTCCTTCCTTCTTCCTTCCTTCCTTCCTTCCTCTCCCTAACAGTTATTAGACCTCCAGAATTTCTAAACAATTCATTTCCTTTTTTTTTTTTAATGTTTGTTTATTTTTGAGACAGAGAGAGACAGAGCATGAATGGGGGAGGGTCATAGAGAGAGGGAGACACAGAATCTGAAGCAGGCTCCAGGCTCTGAGCTGTCAGCACAGAGCCCGATGTGGGGCTCGAACTCATGGACCGTGAGATCATGACCTGAGCTGAAGTTGGACACTTAACCAACTGAGCCACCCAGGCGCCCCATCATTTCCTTTTTTTTTTTTTTTTTTTTTTTTAAGTATTTTCATTTATTTTGAGAGAGAGAGAAAGTGCAAATGGGGGAGGGACAGAGAGATGGAGAGAGAATCCCAAGCAGTCCCCCACACTGTCAGCATGGAGCCTGATGTGGGGCCCGAACCCACAAACTATGAGATCATGACCTGAGCTGAAGTCGGACACAACCAACTGAGCCATCCAGGCGCTCCTTTATGTGGAAATGTCTTCATTTCACCTTCATTCTTGAAGGATAGTTTTTTTGGATATTGAATTCTTGGTTGACAACTTTTTTCCTTTCAAGTTTATTAATACCCCTCCACCCCCCACCCCTCCACTGCCTTCTGGCTTCAGAGAAATCAGTTGTTAATCATACTGAGGCTTCTTTGTGCATGTGGAATTGTTTCTCTATTGCTTCTTTCAACATTTTCATTATCTTTGGGTTTTGGCAGTTTGACTATAATGTGTCTCAGTGTGGGTCTCTTTTAGTTTATCCTGTTCGGAGTTCACTGAATTTCTCAGACAAGTATTTTCATGTCTCCTCAGATTTTGAAGTTTCTAGCCATTATTTCTTCAAATACCTTTTTCTGCTCCTTTCTGTCCTTTCCTTCTTGGAATTGTATAATGTGTACTTTGGTACTTTTGATCACATTTCATAGGTTTCTTGGATCTGTTTTTCTTCATTATGTTTTCTTCTTCTCATACTGGGTAATTTCAGTTGTCCTTTCTTCAAATTCACTGATCCTTATTTCTGCCTGTTCAAATCTGTTGAACTGCCCCACTGAGTTTTTCATTTTAGTTATTGTACTTTCAGCTCCAGAATTTGTTTGGTTTCTTTTTATAAGTTATGTCTCTTTATTAATATTTATATATCATTTTCTTGATTTCCTTTAGTTTTTTTCTCTAGAGCTTCTTTTAGCATATTCAACATATTTAATACCATTAATTTTAAAATCCGTGACTAATAATTCCAGTGTCTGGACTTCCTCAGGAGGGTTTTCTGTCAAGTTATTTTTTTTCTCTGTGAATGGGCCATACTTTACTGTTTCTTTGTATATTTTGTAATATTTTTTGTTGAGAACTGGACATTTTGAGCATTCTGAAATTCTGAGTCTCCCACCTCTCAGAGATTGATGAATCTTGCTTGTTGATGGCTAGAGCCATCTGTGACTTTTTCAATTTATTTTTTTGCAAAGTGTTTATTCTTTGATGTGTGTGGCTCCTGATGTTTCTGTTCTGTCCTGCTATGTGTGTGGTCATCCAGCATCCTGAAAAAGATTTTGTTAGGTGTCTGTCTCCCAAAAATGGAAGAAACAAGCATTATCTCTAATCTTTCTACTCTCCCAGAAACTATTTCAGCATTTAAAACAATGGCAGCTAAACCTATGCCAGCCCCTCAGTGGTTGAAAAAATGGCAATAAACCAGCAAAACACACAACCCTGATATTTGGAGGACCAGGCCCTTATTGTCCATCCTGGCTCCAGCAAGGCACACCAGGAATGCAGACTGCTATCCACATGGCTGCATGCCATGGGATAAGAGGTGGGCATGGTAGGTGGAATTTCACTGAAATGCTGAAATTTACTACCGTCTTCATCAGGCTCACTCCCGGAAGCTGCACATAAGTGTTTGACTAGACTCTGGTGTTCCAGAAGAGTTACTTCGGACAATTCTTGTCAGCCAAATAGCTGTTTGGGTGGAGGGATGGATTCCTGCACGACATGGACACTGATGTATATAAGTAGGGTGGCTGACCCAATATACCATGTCACCAGCACTGAGTCATTGTAAACATTTACCTTCTGTGTCAGGATGTAAATTTGAGTAGAGCATGTCTGAGTTCCACACATCCCCCCTGTACAGGATATTGTAATTTTAACCTCTGCTTGCTAATTAAATAGGCATGACTTTGGCTAGTGTTGCATTTGACTGATTACTCAGGAAACCTGTATTTCTCTGTGTTTTTATAGGGACCATCTCTCCTTTCATATCTTCTGCCCTGTCACTGCTTGTGGCCCAGATGTTTTCTCATTGGGTTGTTTGTTAAGAACCCCTGCTCTGGGGGTCCTTCCTCCCATCAGTGTCAATGTCCTCTAAACCAGTGGCACCCCCAAAGGATTGTGGCCTGGAAGGGAGCATTAAAGCTCTGGGTGGGAGGGCTAGTGGGGCCAGGGAGGTGTGGTGAGGCAGTGTAGTCTGAAGAAGCATATTTAATGGAAATGCCTGGAAAAAAAAAAAGATGCTGGTGGTTTTCATTGTGCAAAACTAGAGAACATTTGGTTTGACAAGTTCTCTTGGCTGTTTGGTTTTGGCTTAAGAGGGCTGGCAACATGAATTGGTGACACATTTTCACAGGGGCCAAGTGTCAAGCCCATCTAAGAATGAGAGGGAGTGCAGGCAAAGGGACTCATTGGTTCTGGATGTTTCCACTGGGCCATTTGTACAGTCATGCCTGGGTGTCTGGTGGGTGAACTCCTTGCAGGTGTCCTATTGCCTCCTCAGCTCACAGGATTAGAAACTGAGTTGTCAGCCTGCTGATGGCAAAGGGCCTTTGGGAACAATGTCATTTCAGACCACAGGGTGATTATTAATAATTGTTAATAGCTCTGGGCAGTTATCAGGGAGATGAACTGGTGTCAGAGGATCAGACAGCTGAGGACCCTGGCAGGTTAGGGAAGACTTGAGTCAGTATCCCCAGGTAAAATAGGGAATAGCACCTAACCCAGAGGTCATGGTAAGTCTGGGTAAGGTTATGCTCACAGTGTGCATGTGTGGTACCCATGCCCACACCTTTGTGGGTGGCCCTGTACATACCCCTAAGGCAGAAGGACCCAGGCAGGGCATCAGATCTGAGCCAGAGGGCCACTGAGAGCTGGATCTGGGCCCTCCCACCCTTCCTCAAGGGCTGGACCAGTCTGCAGGTGCCCCCTGAGTTTAGTGACCTCTAGGCTGTCCATGAGTCCCTGCTAGAGGTGGCCGTGTGGCCTTTCATGCTGAGGAGGGAAATGAGTCCTCGCTCGGTACCAGCTGTGCCCTACCCTGCCTCAGCTTGTTTCCTACACGCATTGCATGACTGTGGGCTGAGCTTCTCCATGATCACTTAGGGTTGGGGAGCATTTCTCTTTGTGGGGAGTGAGCAGCTCCCCTAGCCTGTTGCTCTCTGTGGTCCCCTGCCTCCCATGATAGCTGCACCTGTTCAGAGTTGTACTAACTTCCAACACAGACTAGACAGAACTGAGTGCTAGGCTGGTCTTCGTGTAGATTTCATTTAATTTTCAAGGTAGCCCTGTGATGTGGATGGTGATATTCTCATCTACATGTCAGAAGCCAAGGCTAAGGAAGGGATGTGATTGGATCAAGGTCACAGAACAGATAGAAGTGGGCCCAGGATAAGACCCACTTGTGCAGAAAGGATTAACTTGACACCAGGAGAGGGGCAGCCTTTGCCCTAGGATTCTGGGTGGCTGGAGTGTCCTCCCGGAGTGTTTTTGTTTACTCAGAGCCAGTCTATGGTAACATTATGGTTTATGGTAGGCGCTTTTGGCCATGTGGCATCTACTCAATCTGTGGGGAGGCTGGAGATCAAGGTCAGTCGTGCAGGTGGTCATGTGTGTGTCACCAAGCCCCAGGAAAAACTCTTAATGCTAAGGTTCAGGTGAGCCTCCCTTCTTGGCAATACCCCATGCACATTGTCACACATCAGTGCCAGGAAAATAATACTGCCCATGACTTTGCAGAAGCTCAACATTTGGTATTTTTCCTGGATTCTATCCCTGTGCAATCCCTTGTCTGAATTTAATGTGTGTCTGTCACTTGTAATACACTGTGACCATGTGTATATCAGGTTTCAAGGTGAGTTCTAGGAGTCCTTGTAGCAAATTACTGAACTTGAGGGTGATCTTGCGAATCCCCAAATTTGTTATTGGTGTCAGAGGGGTGGGCAGTCTTGGGGACCCCTGTACTTCATGTGCATTTCTTAGCTCAGGAACTTTTATGCATGAAACCAAGTGTTCCCCAAACTCACCCAGATGGGCCAGAGTAATGCTGTCCCCACTAACTGGTGATTTTTCCTCTGGGCAAACCCAACTCCTGGGAAAGATCCTCTTGGGCCTTTACTACTAGCCCCTCTACACAGAGTGGCCTGAGCTTCTCCAGCATGTCCTCCAGGAGTGCTCCTGCTTCCCTTAGGGCCACCTCTGGACTGCCCGGCCTCAGCCAAGCTGGGTCCTGGTGTGCAGTCAACTTCCTGCAGAGAAGTGATGGATCTCGCAATTATGCCCCCACACTTGACCAGGTTGTCATCAATGCACAAACACACCCATCTCAATATACCTTCATAGCTCTATATTACAGGATAATCTTTCCTAATTGATCAGGAAGAGGGGACATGGTTTTGTTTGAAATTGGTGTGCTTTAGCCTTTTTCAAGCTTTCCCCATTGTATTTCCCCTTATTGGGAACAGCTGGCTCATGCCCTCTGCCCACTGATTTGTAGTTGATCCTTATGCCAAAATTACTGATCTTCCTTCACCCACAAGTAGGTGTTCTAGTCATTTCTTTTTTTATTGGAAAATATGTCTGATTATACACAGTACACAGAAATAAAGTTCCCGGTGTTTTCTAAGTAACAGAAAACTTGAGAACTGTTAAATTCTTGGTAGCAGTAAGGAGAAATAAGATAAAAATTTAAATGCATAAAATGGAAAAACTTCTACATAAAAGTAAAAAAAATCCAAAGTAAGTGTGGAATACTGTTAACCAGTCAGAGGTGGGAGGTAATGGCAATTAACAGGGTGAAAGGACCCCAAAGTCATTCTGGTGCCTGATACCACTTCCAAAAAAGGGAGACTGACCATATGTTCTGGCAGGTTATATACTACCTCCTGGTCCTTGGAGAGGTGAGTGGCAAAAATGCATGGCCCAGGCATCCTCCCCAGGGAGAAGGGCGCTGAAGCCACCTCCCAGCTGCAGAGACACTTGAGCCTTATACTCACCAGTGGGTCAATGGCGGCTGATAGCAAGCAAAGGCAGAATATGAAGTTCACTTAAGAAGGTAAAAAAGCCAACTATACATTTTGGTCCCCCTGAAAACCCTAGATTATTTGGATTTAGTGATCCAGAACGATCCGTACTGTGTAATTTATGTTGTCCTGTGATACACAGCATCTTCCCAAACAAGTATTTCTGTACATTGTATTTAACTGAACTCCTGTTCTCATCTTGACTGGAATATGCCTATTTCTTATTCTAACTCTTCCACATGATTAGGAATTGTACCCCGGGTAGTGATGGGCTCTGAGGGGCAGCCACTGAGTCAGATGCCAGCTAGGAACTCAACCAGCACGGAGCGGAAGCTTCCCTCTGTGGGAATTTATGAGCTAGCACCTCACTGGTCTCAGCTCCTAAGTAATGCTTCTGTGAACTCTATTGATCTGGAGTTTCATCTTAGTGATTTCAGCTACTGTCTGCAGTAACATCTGAGGGACTTCAGCTTCCCTGAAGTGACACTATTGCTCTCTCCTCTGAAGTAACCACCCAGTGATCAGCTCCTCTGAATTGCCCCATGACCTCAGACTCCACTACAGTCTCTCCTTGGGGGTTTCAGCCATCTCTGAAGAAACACCCATGTGATCTCCACTCCAGTGAAGGGACACCTCAGTGAGCTCATCTCCTAACATACGCCTTAGTGACCCCAACTGCTCTGCAGTACATGTTAGTGACATCAGTCCCTTTCAGAAGGAGCCTATCTCCTTGCTGAGGTAACACCAGCTACTTCAACTTCCACTTTCACCTGTGATGTTATCTTCTCAGCAGTATCACAGCGAGGGGAAAAGGAGCTTTTATCAGTGTCAGTGTGTTGCCGTGCCCTCGAGGATCAACTCTAGTCCTTCATTTCTCCTGAGAAGCTTGAGAGAGAGAGAGAACTTAAAAATTATGAATAAAATAGATTCATTTTAGTATATGATAATGTATACCAGAGTCTTCTTGGCATGTAAAAAAATAAAAACCTCAAACACAGGAATGAAAATTTTAGATCATAAAAAATATGTATCAAAGAACGGTCTTTTCAGTAAAACTTTTTTGGGAAACACCACAATGTGTAAAGAGGCACCCAGCTGGTGTAGCAGCTATAAGGTCTGGGCTCTGAGGGCAAAGCTTCCTTCCTACCCACATGGGGTCCAGAGACCCAAGACATCCTATGAGTTCCAGAGCGTAAGGTCTGTAAGTCATAAGGGTGGCTTTTGAGGCAAACATCCATTTTTGAGTTGAATTTTCACTAAAAAGTTAGGAAATCCCTTCTCATCTTGAATAAAGTTCAAACACCAGATGAAGTGTTTTCTCACTAATATTTAGACTTTTTCTTTTTTTCATACAAAACAAGTGGTTCCACACACTTAGCATTTCTAGCCATATTACATTATGATACTTGATGACAATCTTTTTTTATATCATTTTATCCACACACTTTAGTGTTTTCACAGAATACTGCACATAATCCAATTCTAATTTTAGAGGGAATAATTAGAATAGTTACTGTTTTTAGGAAAGGCATGTAATATTCTAAGCAAAATCTTTATTTAGAATGTAAGAAAGTTTCATTGTGATAGTAATCCTTATGTCTTCAATTCCTTCAGTTTCTTCCAATAAACTTTCTAATGTTAAAGAATTATGGGTGTCTTTACCAAAATTTACCATAGTTGTGTCATTTACTCTTCAATATAACTTCAAGATGTGGAGAAAAACAAAACAGGCATGCTCTGTCATTCTTCCATAGGAACATGCTCAGTGCTTCTCTTTGGAGTTACTTGTGACACTAAATGACCAAACAATGGCATCCCACGGAGCTACCAGAACCTTCTCCTGGACTGGGGGGGGGGGCGGGGGGGGGGGGGGGGGGGGGGGCGGGGAGTTTTCCTAGTGGCAGAGGAGGTCACAGCTTCCTGTGCACCTTCTGGTGCTGGATCAGGTGACCGTGCTGGTTGAAGGCGCGCCCGCACTCCCCGCACTCGTAGGGCCTCTCGCCCGTGTGGATCCTCTGGTGCTGGATGAGCACAGAGTACTGGCTGAAGGCCTTGCCGCAGCGGCTGCACTCGTAGGGCCGCTCCCCAGTGTGGGTCCGCAGGTGCACGATCAGTGTTGCTTTTAGGCTGAAGGCCTTGCCACACTGTGCACAGCGGAAGGGCCTCTCGCCTGTGTGGATCCTCTCGTGCTGGACCAGAGACCTGCGGGCGCTGAAGGCGTGTCCACACTCACCGCACACGTAGGGCTTCTCCCCGGTGTGCACCCGCTGGTGCTGGGTCAGGTGAGAGTGCTGCACGAAGGCCTTCCCGCACGCATAGCACCCGTAGGGCTTCTCCTCTGTGTGGATGCGCTCGTGGTTCATCAGTGTGGAGCGGTGGCTGAAGGCCTTCCCACACTCGCCGCACTCATAGGGCTTCTCCCCAGTGTGCACGTTGTGGTGCTGGATGAGGACGGAGCGGTCGCTGAAGGCCCGGCCGCACTCACTGCAGGTGTAGGGCTTCTCCCCGGTGTGCACCCGCTGGTGCTGGAGGAGCGTCCTCTTCACGCTGAAGGCACGGCCGCACTGTGCACACTCGTGTGGCTTCTCCCCGGTGTGCACCCGCTGGTGGCTGCGCAGGACGGTGCTGTGGTTGAACGCCTTCCCGCACAGTGGGCACACGTAGGGTCTTTCTCCCGTGTGGATCCGCTGGTGCTGAATAAGATGCGAGAGCTGAGTGAATGACTTCCGACACTCAAGACACTCATGTGGCTTCTCTCCCGTGTGTATCTTGTGATGCTGAGCAAGATCTGAGCTCACTCGAAAGGCCTTTCCACATTCGTTACACTCGTAGGGCTTCTCGCCGGTGTGGATTCTCCTATGTTTACTGAGGACAGAGCTCTGGCTGAAGGCCTTCCCACACACACCACACACATAGGGCTTCTCTCCAGTGTGTGTTCTCTGATGCTGGAGGAGATGGGAGCTCCGACCAAAGCATTTGCCACACTCGGTACACTTGTAGGGTCTCTCCCCACTAGGAACAGCCTGATTCTGAGAGAGAGGCACACTCTGGCTCAAGACCTGAACTTCAGGTGGGCCAACAGGGCTTGGACTCACACAGAAACTCTGCTCAGGTTCATAACTTTTTTGATCAATCCATCCTTTGGGTGTTTTCCCCAGGATCACCGGTATTTCCTCTGAAATAAACGGCTTCCGACTCACGTCCCTATTTTGGTTCTCTCCCTTGTTTTCATATTCTGAAACAACAAAACCAAAGTAAAAATGTTAACTCAAATGTCAACCCACTCAAAACAGCAGAGCAAAGTGCAACCTGAAGGTGTTTAGCTGACAACAGGTGGCCATCAGGGGCGCGGTCCCTGAACGCACATGGCTACACATTTTCTGCAGTGCAGAAAAATCACAACTGTGTCCAATAATTAGAAATGTGCCCAGGCTCACAGGGCAGTTTAAGGGACAGGTGTGACCTGTAGTCTTGAGTCATCCCCCGCCCCCCACCGCGTGAAGTGCACGTGTCACACAGCAGCAGGGCTACAGCCCATTACCACCTGAGTCCCGCCTTCCTTGGAGTCCTTGTGGTAGGAATACAAGTAGGACCCCACCCATGACTGCAAGGAGCTTTGTGGGGCTGACAGCAACACAGGAACAGAGAAGCCTAGTGTCAGGCTGGTAGATGTGTGAACTCTTGTGTGCATGTCCAACAGACACAGGACCAGAAGACTTATACATGGGGGACTGTGACCTCTTCTTTGTGGAGAAGGCACTGGGGGGCAAGATGAAACTGAGACACAATGAGAGTCTTGCCATGTCTAGGCTGGAGAGGAGTCCTGTAGGGCAGCAGTGAGCATTGCAGAGAAGACTAGGGTAGAGGTTTTTAGTACCAGGTTGGGGGATCTACAGGATGTGCTGATAACTTTTTTAAAAAATTTTTTAACATATATTTTTGAGAGACAGAGCATGAGCAGGGGAGGGGCAGAGAAGGAGACACAGAATCCAAAGCAGGCTCCAGGATCCGAGCAGGCATTCAGCACAGAGCCCGATGTGGGGCTCAAACCCACAAAGCATGAGATCATGACCTGAGCTGAAGTTGGACACTTAACTGACTGAACCACCCAGGCACCCCAATTTTTTTTAAGAAAGCTCTATGCCCAATGTGGGGCTTCAACTCACTACCCAAGACCAAGGACTACATGCTCTACCGACTAAGCCAGCCAGGTGCCCCTGAGAACAGGTTTCTTAAATCTTGGAAACCAAACCGTTGAGATGACAAGATGCCACTCAAAGACCAAAACTTCTCAGGGGTGTACAGGGATGCTGTGGGAGGATGGGCTGTGCTCATGGAGTGATCTTCATCAAGGACGCTCAACAGGGTGTCAGGCCCATAAGCAAGAGCTGACTCTGCATGAGAGCAGCCAGGCCTCCTTGTGGACTCTCAGGTGCCCAATCCAATTTCAACCCTGCAGTTTAGGAGGCCAGCTCCTCACACCATGCTGCCACCCCAGCTTCCCAAAGACCTCTGCCAGGAACAGCGTTAAAGACTGCTGCACTTGAATGGAATTTCAGAGTAAGAACCCCTCTGGGCAGGGGAAGATCTGAGGGAATTCTCTCTCTCAAAGGCGTACTCAAGGTCTACGACAGGTACTGGCGGGGGGGGGAGGGGGGGGCGGAGGGGGCAGCCTTGAGGGGAAATTTACAAATGCCAACCTAGCTGTACCCAGAGATCCTGAGCTAGGATGGCATCCAAGTGTGCATATGAACTGCTTCTTGGCTCTCCCTTCTCTCCAGGGGAGGTGGAATAACTTTTTCACTGGTTCATGTGGGTAAGAACTGGGTATTCTCAGCTTAGGGAACCATATTTTGCAATGTTCCTTCAGGTTCAAAGACCTACAGAGGTAGTAGTTTCCAAGACAGGGGCCTGTGTAAGTCCTTCCCTACCTGAATCTGGTGGCAAGTATGCTTCATTCTGGGGTTCTTTACCAGAAATGATGTGGACCAGCAATGATTTTCCAATTGTGTCCTATCTGTAATAAGGATATTTTCAAGTCCAATAAGCCCCCCACGTTGCTGGTAACAGCATTACTGAGATATAAGCTTCACTTTTTAGTAAGTTCCTAACTTGGTCTGGGAAGACATATGCTATATAGTGGGTCACCTGGTACCCCAAGCCAAGGGACCTTCTAAAACGACTTCTGACTGATGTTTAGAAAAAGATTTGGGCCAAGGTGGCCCATAAATTAAATATGCTTGGGGTGCCTGGTGGCTCAACTGGTTAAGCGTCTAACTCTTGATTTCGGCTCAGGTCACTATTTGATGATCATGAGATCAAGTCCCATGTCAGGCTCTGCGCTGGGCATGGAGTCTGCTTAAGATTCTGTCTCCCTCTTCCTCTGCCTCTCCCCTGCTCATGCGGTCTCTCTCTCTCAAAAATAAATAAACTTACAAAAAAAATTAGGACTACAAGAAATTAAATAAATAAAATACACTTGTTTTGCCTTTTGACAGACAAGGAATGGTTACCTTGGAGGGACAAAGACATACCAAATGTTAATACTTCTTGTAGAAGTTGGTAGCAGCCAGACTGAAGCAAACCCTCAGCAGAGGGTCATCTGAGAAGAGGCAGGAGTGGGAAGTTGGGAGATTCCCAAGTGTGAGGGGCCTTGTAGAGGCTGGGGTCCCACTCCAGGCTAGATTAACCTGCTCTCCACACCCACCCCAGATTCGGCAGCATTCTGGACACAGATACTCAGAGTTCTTCACCTCGACACGGGGGCTCATGTCCATGGTCTTCCCCCTAGGGGCTAGATCCAGAGGAAGCCTCCTTTGGTGGCTCAGGACTGCAAGAGGAGAGCACAAGCACCCACCTGAACCCTTCTCCTCGACAGAATGAAAGCTGCAAGTCACCGGGCAAAGGAAAGCAAACTTCTCATTCTAGGGCACAAACATCCCAATGGCTGGGAAGGGAAAACTACCCTTTACTCCTGAGGGAGGGGCAGGAAAATGATCACGAGCCCAGACATTGAGAAGTCTGCTTCAACTAGGGGAAGGGCTGTGACCCAAGAATACACCACCTGCCTAAAACTGAGGATGATCAGAACAGTGGAGCACGTGGTCATCTCCTCCTGCTCCTATCGAAAAGGCCAGCAAGCACCGAGTAACAAGCAACAGAAGACTTCTGCTGGGGGTGGGGGGTGCTGGTGGCCAGAGCACAGAGGAAAACCCTCTCTCACAGGCACACCTGGAAGACCGGAAGTCCCCACCCTATGCACACGGAAATGCCAGAAGAACGGGAATCCAGTGGTATACTGAGGGCAACTATGGGAACAGAACCCAGCCAAACTCCTGACTCAGGCTTTCACACTCACCTCCTAGTAGGAGGGGCTATGTTCCCAGACAGATACACTATTTACTTCTAGATCTCCTGTCTTAATTAGTGATAGCTGACGTTCAATAAAATATTATAAGACACCCAAGAGAAAGGAAAAAGACTGCTTGTGTGTACACACACACAGAGTCAAGAGACCAAGTGACCAACAGGACCAGAATTAGAGATGACCCATACGTTGAACAGTGTGAATGATCAGACGGGGAACCTCAGCAGATAGATTCTGTAAGAAAGGACCGGAAATGCTAGATGTAGAAAATATAGCAACATATGAACGCCTCTGATAGGCTCATTGCAGACTCAACCCAGATGAGGAAAAGACCAGTGGGCTTGAAAATAGGTCAACAGAAATTACCCTAAAAGAAACACAAAGACAAAAATGTATGAAACATAAAAATAAAATTGATATGGATCAATATCAAATGGCCTCACCTGCATGTAGTTGGAATTGCAGAAGAGAAAGAGAACAGGGAAGTAAAAATATCTGAAAAGATAATGGCTGAGATTTTCCTAAAAATAACGGAAGACATCATAACACAGATTCAAGATATTAGTGTCACACATTTTGTTTTGTCTTTAATATGAGAGAGAGAGAGAGAGGACGCAAGTGCAAGTGGGGGAGACAGGTAGGGGGAGGAGAAGAGAGAGAAAGAAAATCTTAAGCAGGCTCCATGCTGCCATGGGGCTCAATTCCCAAGCCCTGGGATCATGACCTGAGCCGCAATCAAGAGTGGAATGCTCAATCAACTCTGCCACCCAGGCGCCCTACAAACATGTTTTTAAAATACCAACTAGAGGGGCGCCTGGGTGGCTCAGTCAGTTGAGCATATGACTTCGCCTCAGGTCATGATCTCACAGGTCCGTAAGTTTGAGCCCCACATCAGGCTTTTTACTGACAGCTCAGAGCCTGGAGCCTGCTTTGGATTCTGTGTCTCCCTCTCTTTCTGCCCCTCTCCCGCTCATGCTCTGTCTCTGTCTCCCTCAAAAATAGCATTAAAAAAAAAAAGAAAAAAAAAAACCTGACTAGATACATCATATTCAAACTGCCAAAAACCAAAGAGAACATCTTAGAGGTAGAGGAAAAACACATACAACACAGAAGAACAAATGTAAGAATTACAGTAGACTCCTCATCAGAAACAAGTCCGAAAACAATGGACTGACACCCTTGAAGGGCAGAAAAAGAAAAAACAAGTCAATTTACAAACACCAATGGAGAGAACATCCAACAATCAAATCCAAACTAATGTTACAGGGAATTCCTCAGGCTGCAGAAATATACCCGACAAAGCTGGATTTATACAAGAAATGAAGGCTTTTGGAAATGGTTAAAATGAAGGTAAATATAAAAGACTATGTAAAACGGTTTTCTAAATCACTCTAAGAGAATTGTCCAAAGCAAAAATGATTACACACTAGAGCACCTGGTTGGCTCAGTTGGAAGAGCATGGGACTCTTACTCGTGGGGTCATGACTTCAAGTACCACGTTGAGTGTAGAGATTACTTAAATAAACCTGAAAAAAATAGTTGTAATGGAGCAAATGTTTGTGTCTCTCCCCGCAAATTCACATGTTGAAGCCCTAACCCCCAATGTGATGGTATTTGGTGGTGGGGACTTTGGGAGGTAAATGAGAGTTAGAGGAGGTCACAAGGGTGGGGCCCCCATGATGGCATCACTGCCCTCTAAGAAAAGACCTCAGTGAGCTTACTCACTTTCCCCCCACAGGCACACAGAGGCCATGTGAACACACAGAAAGTGGCCATACTGCAAGCCAGGAATAGAGCCCTCACCAAATTCTCACTTTTTTAAAATTTTTTTAGCGTTTATTTATTTTGGAGACAGAGAGAGACAGAGCATGAACGGGGGAGGGTCAGAGAGAGAGGGAGACACAGAATCTGAAACAGGCTCCAGGCTCTGAGCAGTCAGCACAGAGCCCGATGCGGGGCTCGAACTCACGGACCGCAGCTCATGACCTGAGCCGAAGTCGGACGCTTAACCGACTGAGCCACCCGGGCGCCCCAACTCACTCTTGTCTTGGACCTCCAGCCTAGGGAACTGTGAGAATGAAATTTTTCATGTTTAAGTCACTCAACCCATGGCATGGCTTGGTTATGGCAGCCTGAACGGACCAATGAACAAGTATGCTACCCCAACAGTCTTCTAACACATATGAAATGGTGTTTGCATTCTTTGAATGTTTGTAGATGTATATTGTGAACCCTAGGGCAGCCACTAACCATCTGTTCTTTGTTCTTTCTTCTTTCTCCCTTTAAAAAAATTAAGTTACTTCTCATGATTCTATCTTATTTCCTTTGTTGGCTTCTTAGCTTTTTTAATTTTTTTTTTTAACGTTTATTCATTTTTGAGACAGAGAGAGACAGAGCATGAATGGGGGAAGGTCAGAGAGAGAGGGAGACACAGAATCTGAAACAGGCTCCAGGCTCTGAGCTGTCAGCACAGAGCCCGACGCGGGGCTCGAACTCACGGACCGCGAGATCATGACCTGAGCCGAAGTCGGATGCCCAACCGACTGAGCCACCCAGGCGCCCCCGGCTTCTTAGCTTTAACACTTCTTTTGATTATGATATAGCTTAGTGATTTTATTCAAGTTTATTATGTAAGGGTTCATTGGAGTTTCTTAGATCTGTGAGTTTATGGTTTTCATCACACTTGGAAAGTTTTCAACCATCATTTCCTAGAATATTTTTTCTGATGCTCCCACCTCTGCTTTATTGGCTTCAGCTAGATATATTAGGCAATTTCAGATTGTCCCACAGCTCACTAATGTCCTGTGGTCTTTTTTTCCTTCCTTTTCCTTTTCAGTAGTTTCTAGGATTTTTGTTTTCACTAATCCTTTCTTATGCAATATCTAACCTGTCACTAATTTTACCCAGTAAACTCTTCATCTCATGCATTGTTTTCATCTCTAGAGATCAGAACTGGGCCTTTCATGTATCTTCCAAGACTCTACTTAACATGCTGAATATTCCCTCTAGTCCTTGAACATACAGAATAAATTTATTTTGTTTTCATGTCCTGGTCTTCCAAATCTTTTTATTTTTTTAATATTTATTTTTGAGAAGACAGCACGTGAGCAGGGGAGGGGCAGAGAGAAAGAGAGAGACAGAGAGAGAGAGAGAGAGAGAGAGAGAGAGAGAAAGATATAGAAACCAAAGTAGGCTCCAGGCTCTGAGCTGTCAGCACACAGCCCAAAGCGGGGCTCAAACTCACTGACCATGGGATCATGACCTGAGTCTAAGTCAGATACCTAACAGACTGAGCCACCCAGGCACTCCTCCTGGTCTTCCAATTCTATCACTGATGTCACTTCTGGTCCGTTTAACAGGACTGTTTTTTCTTCTAATTATGGTTGTTTTCTTACTTCTTTGAATGCTTGATAACTTTTTATTAATGCCAGATATTATGGATTTTACCTTGCTTCATGATGGATATTTATTATTTCCAGAAATTGTCTCAAACTTAAGTATTCTTGGTTAAGTTACTTGGAAGTAGCATGTATGGTTCTTGCCTTTGAACTTTGTTAGATCATAACAGAATAGTGCTTAGGGCTCTTTCACCAGCCCTCCCCCCACCCCCTCCCCAACACACACACACACACACACACACACACACACACACACACACACACGTTAGTTCTCTAATTAAGGATTCCCTGTGAGTTACAAGTTTCCCACTCTTGCTGTTGGGAACAGATAGCATTCCCAGCCTTATGTGAGCATTGGGCACTGTATTTACTAGCCTATAGCTCTGCAGGCTAGAATTCCATATGGGTTCTCTGCTCAGTGTATCACAAGGCTGAAAAATAAAGTTAGTCTGAATACTCATGTGGAGGCTCAGGGAGTAAATGCACTTCAAAGTTCATTCTTACTGTTGTCAAAATTCAGCCCCTTGTAGCTACAGGACTAAGAGGACTGTTTCCTTTGCCACCCTCACCTCCTGATTGCTACCTGCATTCCTTGCCATGTGGCCCCCTCCACCTTCAAGGCAGCAATGGTGCATCAAATCCTTCTTCCCATTCTTTGAATCTGGCTTCGGTCTCCAACCCCCAGACCCCCCAGACCCCGATTTAAAGAGTTCTCCATTCCTTAAAGGCAAAAGCTTAACGTAACATAATCACGAGAATAAAATCCACATTCACAATCTTGGGGATTATGCAGGCAGGGCAGGTCCTGTGCTGAGAAAGAGAGCTCCGGTCTCTCTTCCTCTTCTAAGAACACTAATCATAGCAAATCAAGGTCCTACCCTTATGAGGTCACTTAATTACTTCCATAAAGCCTCCATCACCAATACATTCACACTGGGGGTCAGGGCTTCAACATATGAATGGGGGAGGGGCACAAACATTCATTCTATTATGAGGACCATCTTAAATCCTGGTTACCACAGCTACTACTCCTTCTAAAGAGGCAGCTCTTTCCTGGCTTTGGATTTCCTTGCTAATACTCAAGAAGTCTTCCTGCAGATCTCCAGAATTCTTTGTCACACAGACTCCCCTGTGGGACTTCTGGCCTCCCTGGCATCTCTGGATTCCCGGCAATAAAGTCCTCAAGTCTGGGACACCACTGGGCTCTGCCAGGGTTCCCCTCCTTACACTGGGATCTTCTCCAAGTGGTGAGCTGGGACAATTGGAGGGATCATCCCTTTGTTTCCTGTCTTTTGGGAATTACTTTCCTTCACTGACTGACTTCCACTAAGAGAATGATGTCCAACATCTTGAGAGCCGAGGTTTCATATACATTGTCCAATTTTTCAGTTGTTTCAAGTGAGAGGGTAACTACCATCTCTGTTTACTCCATCTTGGCTGGAAGTAGAAGCCCTTGTGGCTGCTGGGTTTTTTAATAGTTTTATATTAAAGGTTGGATCTCTAACCAATAACTTAATTAGGCATATTTCTGAGATTTCTAGAATTTTGTGTTACCTGGTGTTCTGCAACTTAATTTCCTCTCAACACTGTGTTCCTGATTCGTTATTGTTCTACAATATAATAATGAACAGTTATCAAATCCCTTTCACTACAGTACATTCTGTTCTATTACAACACCATAGCTTATTTATCTGTCTAGTCTACTGCTGATGAACACCTGGATCGTTTCCAGATTTTTCTATCTTGAAACATGCTTCTTTGAAGATTCTTGTACATGTTTCTTGGGGTTTACACACAAACGTCCTTACTGTACACTTAAGAGTGGAACATCTGCCATAGGGATCCATATTTTCAACTTCATTTGATAATGGCACACTGGTTTCCAAAGTGAATGTGCACGTTTACATCATCATTAGCTGCTTTATATTCTCAACCAAACTTGTTAATGTCAGATCTATTTTTTTTTGATACTGAAGGTCTAACATGGTATATCACAGCAGTTTTAATTTCCATGTCACTGATAAATAATGAGGCTGAGCATGTTCTCACATTTATTAGCCCTTTGATTTCCTCCTCTATCAGAACTTGTTCAAGTTTTGTGCCCACTTTTCTTATTTGATATTTCTGCATTTTTTAAATTCTCTTCAGAGCAATTACTAAGTGTATACACTTTTTTTTTTTAATTTTTTTTTTCAATGTTTATTTATTTTTGGGACAGAGAGAGACAGAGCATGAACGGGGGAGGGGCAGAGAGAGAGGGAGACACAGAATCGGAAACAGGCTCCAGGCTCTGAGCCATCAGCCCAGAGCCTGACGCGGGGCTCGAACTCACAGACCGCGAGGTTGTGACCTGGCTGAAGTCGGACGCTTAACCGACTGCGCCACCCAGGCGCCCCTGTATACACTGTTTTCAAAAATGGCAATACCAATAAGTTCTTCATTTAAAAAATCTGGGTTTATGGCCAATAAAATTTTTACACATCTCATTTTTTAAAAGTTATACTATATGTTTTTTAAACTGGGGAACACATGGTTTAGTGTTTTGTTTTTGTTTTTTTTTTACTTAAGAAGCCTCATCTTCATAAAGTTAGCAAGCCAAAGAAATAATTACCCATTTCCATTGAAAAGTATTTCTTCTATTGTTTGAAGCTTCCTAAATAGGTAGTGTTTTTCCTGATGCCAAAGTAACGAGATGAGCAAAATGACTTTAATAAATAACTGTACAAAAGGTTATTCAATCATCCATGGCATAAAAGCAACACATGACCAAACTTGCAAGAGCAGAGCCCTCACTTTCAGAACAATACAGCTTCAGCTGTTGTTTCAAGTACAGACTAGGAAGAATGTTTTACATTGGACAAAACAAAGGAAAAAAAAATTCCACTGAAACAAATTTTTAATTTAAAAAACCCCTCTCCAAGATTTTGTATAGAGTGTATGTATTGTATAACAAGAACATACATTCTGCATCAGAGAACCCCAGGAATTTCTTTACATTCTGGTGAACCATCAGCATTAACACCTTCAGGGATTGTACTGGGTTAAAAAGATAAGACATACACCTACCCCATGGACAGGGTGAACTGTCTTGCTGCCTACAAGCTGCCATGTGGTCACGTTTGGAGTTATCTGCAAAAAGAAAAGAGAGTTAAGAGAGAACAAAACAGTTTTTAAGAGTAGGAACTCCTGGGGCAGCTGGGTGGCTTACTGGGTTAAGTGATCGACTTCAGCTCAGATCATGATCTCACAGCTTGTGAGTTCGAGCCCCATGGTGGGCTCTGTGCTGATAGCTCAGAGCCTGGAGCCTACTTAGGATTCTGTGTCTCCCTCTCTCTCTGTCCGTACCCTGCTTGCACTCTATTTTTCTCTCTCTCAAAAATAAACAAACATTTAAAAAAAAAAAAAAAAAAGAGCAGGAACTTCCTCCACTGGCTGTTACAGCAGGTAAGTGCAATTCACAGAGTTAAGACCACAGGCTCCTCGGGCAGAAGAGGCCCCAGGTGGAAGCTACTCTTGCTGTCTGTCACCTGTCAGTGTGCACAGCTGCCAGGAGCTGATCAGTCCAACTGAAGGAGGCCCAGCTCCCTTCACTCACCTGAATGGCCAATGCCCAAGCCCCCAGTCTCCTTAGCCCCTTGTCCCTCCAGGACCCATGGCTCTTCTCCTCGTTCCAGCTGACAGATCACGTTGGGCTTTGATCCTGGAAGTCCTGCTCATGGGGAAGGAAGGCCTTTTGTCAGCACAACATCTGTGAACACCCCTGCCCCACCTGAGTGACCTGTAGGCATGAGACAGACAGGTGTGATGTCCCTCTAGAGCTGTAACACCTGGAGGCAACCCCAAACCCCCCACCCCAGGTCCCTGCCCTTGGCCAAGCACAGAGACACAGAAGACGCCTGCTGAGGGGCCATACCCAGTGACACCACGTTGCCATAAGTCTCCATCATCACGTGTCGGTAGAGGCCCCGCTGAGCAGGGCCCAGGCGGTCCCACTCCTCCTGGGAGAGGAGCACAGCCACATCCTCAAAGGTCACCTTGGCCTGGAATGACAGGGGCTGCTGAAGGTTGGATTGAGTCTCCATGTCTGAGATGGAGCAATGTGGGTGGGGGGAGTGGAGATGCCCTAGGTCAGGGGGGAGGGGAAACACATGCGAGCAGATGGGTGGCATCAGGAAGGGGCCACATTGTTCAGGAGATACAGTGACACTCAGGCTGTCACCCAGAACCCTGGGCATGGGAGGGTTGTGAGGAAATCCAGGGGTGCAACAAAGGCCCTGGAGGCAGCTCACTTGGGGTCCTGCTGGTGGTGGTAGGAGCCTGGCTGCTGCCATCGCGTGATCCCTTGAGGTTTCCAAGGAAGGTGGAAGTCAGAGGAGCCTGTGGGGCTGAGGAAGAGGAGGGAGCACATGAGGGGCCCACCCTTGCCCCCACAGACCCTGAGTTCTGAGGGAGTCCAGCCCCCATTGTGAACTCTTCCCATGGGCCTAGCCACAAGGTTTTGCTCTCCAGACCTGGGGTCTTGATGATCAGCTACGGAGCTAGCAAGGACTCTGAGGCACCTGCTCAGGCCCACAGTCTAGGCACAAGGGCCCATGCCAGAGCATTCACGTAGGTGTGAAATGTTCATCAGGTCTGGTGTGGGTGCCAGGCCAGGCTGCCTCCACAGACAATCTCCCAGTGAAGACAGGCTTTCCTCAAGGTCCACACTCCTGTGGGGGCCTCACCCCAGGTCCGGCATTCTTGGCTTGACTGTAACTCCTGTGGCCCCACTGACGCCTCAGTCTCATGTGGTTGTGCCCCAGTTGCCCTGATGCTCCACTGAGGCTGGGGTCATCAGCCTGGTGGTGGCTCCACCAGGGACTGGGAACGGAGGCAGGACAAATGGTTGATTCTGGAGGACTAAGTACAGAGTCACCCAGGGATCTGGTCTGAACACCCGATGTGGAGGCCTGGGGGTGAGCGGGTTCTGGGGGCTTATCAAGCTAAATTAAGCTGAGATGTCTATCATACTCAAAATACGGGGGAAAAAAAGGGGGACCAAAGGCTCTCCTAATGGGGGAATGGGGTTCACATCTTTTGGAGTGCCAAAGGGTGTCTATAACAGGGACACAGAAGCCAAGTGGGCAGATCACTCTAGGAAAAATGGTACAAGATGGTGATCAACCTTCTCATGCATGCAGCTCAGCAGGTACCTCAACAAACAGGGTGCTTCATCTGTTTGTTTGATTTCTTTGTAGAATATCAGATGTATGTGTAAGTTTGCATGGACAACTTTTGGGAAGACAAATCCTGAACTCCCAACTGCAGCTGCCTCTGAGGAACACAATGGTAGACTTATTCATCAAGAATGTCCATTCCCCCCAAATCTGTGTGTGCTTGTGTCAGTGCAACTCTAATTAGGATTCCAACAGGTGCCTTTTAAAGGAGTAAAACTACCTTGAATTCACATGAACAATAGATGGTGGATAACAGAGTAAGAATAAAATTTGAAAAAAATGGGTGTGAGGCAGGGTGGGCCTGCCTCACCAGATCTCAGAACAAAGATGAGGAAGCCATTTCCACCACCCACTCCCCCTCCTGCCCTCTTGGCAGTGTATCCAACACCCACATCCACTCGACCACCTCACAGACTTGCCATCTCTCATTGTCAGTCATCTTCCCCATGGTCTCGTCCAGATACCTCTCCATGAGAGGTCTCCGTACCCCCACCCCACCAGAAAGTGGCCCTGGTCAGGGTCTCCCATGACTTCCATGTGGTCAGATCCTTGCCCCCTGCTGACAGGATGACACTGGTCTCTTGTGCTCCTGCAAGTTGGTCTCTACCAAGTCTCCTGGACATTGCTCCCTCAGCCAAGGCCTCCAGCCATCCTCACCTGTTTGAGAATTTGACCTTCATGTATAATACAGCTCTGGTCCTATGGGAACCTGGCAGAAGTAGTCATTGGGACTATGGCCCCACTGCAACTAGGCCAGGATCCAACGATAAACACCAATAGGAACCTCATTCAGGGCCTTCCCAGTGGGTACAGATGACACAGGAGGCATGTGGCACATGTGGCCATAAGGCCTTAAGCCAGACCAACTCCTGCTCCTGCCCGTGCTTCTTCCTGCCCCACATCCTGCACATTATCTGGCACTGGCCATGGTTATCCTACAAGCCTGAATGTTCAGTGGAGCCTAGGGTCTCCTTTTTGGTGCAGTTGAACTGGCAATCCCCTTCCCTCCAACTCAACATCTTCATGGAGATGTTCTTTGGCATCTCAGATACTTAACATCTAACACTAGGCTCCTATTTCTGCCCCCAGCTTGGTCTGGGCACCTCTACCCAAGACCTGATCCTGAAACTACCTTTCCTCCTCATTCTTTCACAGTCTACTCCAAATCCACTCTCCTAGTGCACCCAGAACCTGGCCCTGTTACAGCAGGGTCATGCATCTGTCTTCCATGGGAATAGCGACTGTCCTTGGCTTCAACTAACTTCCTGGCCCCTCTATGGCTATGAGGCTGCTCAGAACCCTGCTTGAACCTCCCCTCTGCCAGGGAGGCTCCCTCCCTTTCGCTGGTGCTTGGCCACATCACCTTCTCATTGAGGCCCTTCCTGACCCCTTATCTTGAGGGCCTCTGCCTTGCCCAGTCCTCCTTCTCCCTTCCTGTCTCAGCAAAGCAGCCATCAGGCCAATGTTTGCTGAGTAAGTGAATGAAATGAAAACATCGACGACACCATACTCTACACCCTGTCTCAGAAAAGCCACCTAACAGTTATGTAGATGAACCAGACATGCCATTAGACAGTGGGAACTCCGCTGGAATGGATGAGGATGGTGTGACTGCCAACCCACAGTCCTTCCACACACAGGTCACAGACCCACTAAGAGAAAGATTTAGGTTGTGCTAGATAGACGACAGGGAAATGACACCGTGGGACACAGAGAGCATGTCCAAAATGTTCCTCTTTCAGAAACAATGACTCCAGGGCCATGAAGGGTATGTGTGCGCTTTGTCCTCACCCGTAAAACAGGAAGATCACATCCCTCCTCTGTGGGCCTCAAGAGGAGACAGTGCTCAGAACCACTGGGCGCAGAGTCAGATGCCGCTGGACCAAGTGTTATCTCATTCGATTAGACTAACTCCAAACAACCAGGCTGTCAACACGAGTGAGAAACAGAGGTGGGTGGAGAGGGCAAAGGAAAAGATTCCTACCTGGCAGGGGGAGTCCTAGAAAAGCACAAAAACAAAGGATCTCTACCTAGATGACCTTCACACATTACCAAGTTAAAAAAAAAAAAGCATATCACATAGTATGTGTTATACTATCACACAGTATTTTTACTACGATCTGAAGATTTGTGTCCTTTCAACATTCATATGGTGAAATCCTAATGCCCAGTAGGATGGTGTTAGGAGGTGAGGCCTTTGGGAAGTGCTTAGGTCATGAGTCTGGAGTCCTCATGATGGGATTAGTGCCCTTGTAAGAAGAGACTCCCACAGAGCTTTCTCACTCCTTCCACCACGTGAGGTCACAGCAAGAAGTCTGCAACCTGAAGGGGGCCTTCCCCTGACCATGCTGGCACCCTAATTTGGACTTCCAGCCTCTAGAACTTTGAGAAATGTCTGTTGTTTTATAGGCTACCCAGTCTACAGTAATTTGTTCTGGAAGCCCGAGGAACTAAGATGACTGTATTCTTTTGTTTTTAAAAAAATTTTTTTAATGTTTATTTATTTCTGACAGAGAGAGAGCGCATCAGCAGAGGAGGGGCAAGACAGAGGGAGACACAGAATCTGAAGCAGGCTCCAACCTGTCAGCACAGAGCCCGACGCGGGGCTCAAACTCACGGACCGCGAGATCACGACCTGAGCCAAAGTTGGATGCTCAGCCGACTGAGCCACCCAGGCGCCCCGACTGTATTCTGATTAAAAAACAAACAAACAAACAAAAAACCAAAATAAACACAAGAAGTGATACTAATTTTGAACAAGCCTGTGACTTCAAGCAAAGACGTACAAAACACTGTGCATCTCAAAACCAACAACTGTCAGGCAGGAAAACAGAGTCATCCAGGGTACCCAAACTGGCTTTTAACAAGCTGCCCTCTCCCCAACCCTGACCTCCATGATTCTGATGCCCTGTGAGATGCTCTGTGAGAAAAACACAGTTTAGACAAGAAGAGAGAACAGGTGGGCACGACAAGTCCTGTTTGGATGACCCCCCAAGCCAGAATCACCACCACTGAGTCCCCTAACAGACTCTGAGCAAGGCCATGCCACCCCCACAAAGGGGCAAGCACAAAGAGCACCGTCCATCCACCAATCACAGTCATTCTTCAGATGCAGGAATTCCATTTTTGGAAATCTCCTCAGGGAATAACCCAAACAAAACCAGAACAGATCCATGTTCTCAGCAGCCCTGGATGCTTAATGGGACAGAAGCCACACTGCAGTGAGACACTCAGCCAAACAGAATCTAGCTCTCATGATGACTGAGCAGCCAGCTACGTGGACAGGAACTAAAGAAGGGGCTGCAGAGATGCAAAGAGCTTAGAGTTTAAAGTTTACTAGTATTGTTTTGTTTTGTAAGCTAAGCTTTAGGAACTTATCACCCTTGTTGGAATCCCTGATAGATCTGATGTAAAAGAACACGCATGTCTGTCCAAAGAGCTCGCACACAGTGACAGGCTAGCATGGGCATACCAGACGTGCGTGGTCTGGGGTGAGAGGCTCCCAGGATCTTCTTCCCTCAGTCCTCACCATCCTCACCCACAGGCTTTCCTGGTGGAATGCCCTGCCCCACCTCCACGGTGGAAGCATCTTCACAAAGGGCAGCTCCAAGCCATTTGCGAACACAAAGCACAACCCTGCAATCTTCCATAGGGAATGATCAAGCATCCAAACCAACAGCTTTCTTATACACCGGCAACACCTAGTCAGAAAACATATGGGGGGAAAATTCTGTTCATAAATGGCAACAAGGAACAAGCTTAAAATGAACTTTAGAAATGTGATGTTAATTCTGCCCACCGTATCCACAAAACCAAGGTGCCTAGAACCGGTGGGCCTGGAGGAAAAGCAGTGGCTACCAAACGGGGCAGAGCAGGGCCAAGTCTGTATAAACAAATGAAGAACAGATGAGACAATTCAAATTGCTCAGGAAAGATGATTCAATAAATGGTGCGAAGACAAAATTTTTTAAATGCTTTAGGAAAAGCAAAATTAAGCCTTTACATAAAATTCAACAAATCTCCCAGAAAGTAGAGGGAGGCAAAGAGATTTAAACAAACAAACAAAAAAATTTGGCCAGAAAAAATTAGATCATCTCAGTCCAATAAATCCACTAGGCTAACTAATGAGTAAGAGTTGAAATTTTAGATCACATTTTAAGGACTTGAATACAAGTATAGATTCATTTGTATTATTTTAGGTGGGAAGGGCTGTTCTAAGCAAAATAGCAAAAGCAGAAACCTGCTGGGCAGAGACTCCCACATTTGCTGCATGAAAATTAATACCTTATGCACATCAAAGCCACCAAATTCCAGAATGGGCCCAAAGACATGTAAGAATTTAATGCATGACAAAGTTGGTTTTCCAAATCAATGGAAAGATGAATTATTCAGTAGGTAGTGTTAGAAATAGCATAGAAGGAAAAAAATGAAGCTGGATTCCCAACTCACTCCACACCAAAATAAATTCCAGATGGATCCAGCATTGCACAAGTACCAGAGAAAAACAAGAGTCTATTTTAAAAATAATCTTGGCGTGGGGAAAGTCTTTTAAGACATAGCAAAGCTCAAAAGCCTTCGGAGTAAATATGTTACGATTAAAAACTTGAAATCTCTTCAAAAAACCCCAAACCAGAACAAAGCACCATAACTGGAGTCAAATGTCAGTTTGTGAAGAGTGTTTTCAACATATACGGAAAAGAGTATAAGCTGGCAGATCACAAAGGAAATACAAAGGAAAACAAAAAAGGAAATACAAAGGCACACGAACAGTTTCAACCTCACCAGTCATCGGGGAACGGAAATTAAAACATTCATGTGACAACAATGCGGGGCGGGCGGTCTTAAGGCCCCAACCTCCCCCTCACTCCGCCTCCGAGTCCACCCTGCACACACGGGGTGTACAAAACCGACGGAACGCACCGCCACGAAGACGGTTTGCAAGTGAAAAATCTAACAAGTATCGACCGTTAGAGCATGGCCACCCCTCTGCCCCCCGAGCTTCCCTTTTAGGTGAATAACAGAAAACAGCGCACGCAAAATCCAGAAACGGTACAAAGGAAACCAGCCAGTGCTGCCTCTGCGCACACTGGCAGGCTGTTCCCAACGACGATTTCCAGTTTTTCTATTTTTCTCACACGTTAACATTTTAAAAAATGCATGTTATTTTCTACTGAAATCTTAAAAAGCAAATAATAAACTAGGAAAATATTTGCAAACCATGTTAGAAAAGGTTGGTCTCGTTCACTAAAAAGCGGCTCTTACAAGGAAGTAAGGAGAAGAGCACGGATAGAAACATGGAGAAAGGATGTAAAATTAGGAAAGTACTTTGAGCCAACGAGATACCAACGCCGTTCGGACGCGGAGAAACGGCTTACTGCGAACGGCACAGGCGCTCCTGCCGCCGCGGGGTCCGGATGGGCTTCTCAGCCTCTGGTTCTGTATTCTGGGGAGACCTTGAGCGAGCCGGGGACTCGCGGGTCGCTGACCACCCTTCCCGGGGCAATCGCGCCACCGTTCTCTTCGCCGCGGCCCCGCCGCAAACCTCCACCTCCTGCCAGCGCTCGCCGTCCGCGGGGGAGGGGGCCCGGGAGGGTCGGAGGAGGGCGGTGAGGTGTCTCAGGGCCGCGGGGGGGGGCGGAGGGGGGGGGGGGCCGGCGGGGATTCCGGGCGTGGCAGGGCCGGAGGGCTGAGGGCCCGGAGACTGGGTCGCAGGCAGCCTGGTATGTGTCAAGGGTAAGGGGAGAGGGTTCTGGGGCGTGGCAGGGGCCGAGGGGCGGAGGTCGGGAGAAGCCCGGGTGTGAGGAGCGGAGAGAGGACTGGGATGCGGCAAAACGCTGGCGGAGAGGGGGCTGAGAGTGGGGTCCGAGGAGGGAAAGGAGCCCACCGCACGCCCGCAGGAGGAACCCGGCAGGAGGGGCGGAAGCGGAGCGTGCCCGCGGGGAAGTGCCCTGTCCGTGAGGACGACACGGCTCCAGCGCGCGTGCTGGCAGAAGGGCCTGGGCGCCAGTGCCCACGCGCACCTCCAACTCACCTTCCACGCCGCAGCCTCACGCGCGAAGGGACGGACGCCCGCAACGCACTCAGACAAAGGGGACGCCCCGCCTGGTCTGCGCATCCGCCAATCCCTGGGGGCCCCGCCTCCTCAGTCCCCGCCCACGCCCCCGGTCACCACTCCTGGAGCGGACACCTCCCAGTCGTCCCCGCCTTCCCCGCCGGCGCCATTTTCCTGACTGACAGCGAGGCCGCTTTCTGCGGAGCCACCGAGAGGCGAGATCTCCCGCGCGCCTAGAGAGGCCACACCGCGCTCCGGCCTCGCGTTTACCGCACTTCCGGCGGTCTTGTGGAAAGTTCTAGTGAAGCTTCCGAGCATCGGACCCACGGGCCACCTAGTGCCTGTAGAGTCGGGTTTCCCGCTTGTGTCCAGGCGGGTTCCTTTTCCGCTCCTAACCGGGTGCCACCCCCTCTGAACGTGCCTCCTCGTTGCTGTGCCCTGGGACCCGCCGAGGACCTAGCGGTGGTCGTCACGTGTGACGGTGACCGCCTCCTCAACCACCTGCACTGCTGTTCACAGACTTTTTTGGGGGGCGGCGGGGGGCCGTGAAGCCTCCGTCCGTGAGGGCGTTGCACGGTGCGGTAGCAACTCCCGGGAGAGGAGGCTGAGACAGCCACGGCTGGAATGCTTAGTCGTGTTCTAGAAAAACTAGAACGGTGAGGGCTTTCTTGGAGGAGCAGTTGGGGAGCCGGAGGAAGAGTTGGCCATCTCGCCTTTTCTGATAAGCGACCCTGGGTTGGGAGTAGGACTCCCTAACTTCAGGCAGGGATGGGAAGAAAAATTAAGGAGGAGGGGACAGAGAGTCCCTCAACAGTGACACCCTTTCCTCTTTCCTTTTTCCTTTTAGCTTTTTATTATAGAAACTTTCAAAGATAGGCAAAGGTAGACAAAGTAGTGTAATGAACCCCACGTGTCCATCAAACAGTTGAAATGGGCAGTCTCTTCACCTATTTCTCTGGTTATTTCTTTCGTCAATCCCGTAGAGGAGGTCATTTTATATAATAATTATTCTCATATTTGTCTAAAAGATAAGGGCCCCTAAAAACGTAATTACAAAGCTATTATCACCCGTGAATGTTAATGATTATCCTTTATTATCAAATGTAGGAAACTCTTTTTTTTAAATGTAAAAATACATCATGAGTTTACAGTGATATTTCAAATTTAGAGCTAGGTGGCTATTAATTTTTAAAATTTTATGTTTGTATCTTTTTTCCCCCTCATATTTAGAATCTTGGAGGGCGTCTAGGTGGCTCACTCAGTTGAGCATAGGACTCGTGGTTTCAGCTCAGGTCATGATCCCAGGGTGGCGGGATCCAGCCCTCTGTCCGTCTCTACCCTAATCAAG